TTTGATGAGGGAGACTCACCTCTTGTTGGCGCTGAACTCTGGACCTCATGATACTCTTTGTATTCAATGATATTGATAATATAAGCTGCGCTACTAGTTCTTATCTCATCTCAGTCTGGTTTTGTGTGAGACCACTTTGTTCGTGTGATGACATGTATGCATGCGGTGTAATATTCTCAAGCAAGCTGTGAACAGTCAGGTTCCTTGCATTTTTGGTATCGGAGCAGATACTTGTTGCGCTCACTGCGCTGGCATAGGCAAGGCCGGCGAGACAGAAGAGAGACCGCTGGCCGTTGATGATGCTGGCGATGGTGGGAGAGATGGTGGATAGGGATATGGGAGAAGAGTAGGCCGGAGAAGAAGGGGTAGAAGGGTACTTACCTGGAGCTTGGAGTGCGGAGCGACGAGGAGTCTTCATCAACGATCGCTGCCAAAGAAGAGAAGCACCCCTTTCTCCTTACCTGGCTGCATGTGTGTGTGTGCTTCTTCTCCTTATCCTCTCTGGGGTCGCTGCTGCTGCTGTCAAATCGGGTCATAGGGTCTATAGTCTGGATCGTTGAAGTCAAAGGGACTTGTCATGTTGGAGTTTAGAATGAACAGAGGATCAGTGTCCTTTCTTCTCCAACCCTCTAGTCTGGAGTCTGCGCTGAAGTCAAGAGTAGGAGCTCGGCAGTTGCCATAGCAGATACACAAGTAAGGTACCAAGTCTAATCAAACTGGGTAAGGATAAGCATGATTGAAGTGATTACTCCAGTACCTACCTGCGCAAGAGGACAACAGACAGGGTTAGCATAAGGAGGTAAAAAGAAAAAAAAAGTAATACATATAAGAAAGCAAAAGAGTTTCCAACGAGACAGGGAAACAGGAAACATCCGGTGGACCTTTGACATATAATATTTGTTTTGATCAGTCCGATTTCTGACTCTGAAGGCAAGCAGCAAGAAAAAAAAGAAAAGGTATATTACCATATTTAAGTCTGAAATTCGTTATTATTGAAACAGTGACACCCAAAATTCAAAAAAAAAAAGCAAACAAAGCAAAATATTCATTCCATCCATCTCTACTTGCAGTAGTGTGAAGACCAGTTGGGAGACCTACCTGGTGGGACCTGCGGAGGACCTCCTGTGCTAAGTCCCATCATGGTGGACGATTTTCCCATGCAGGGCTTGATTGCCCTGTCTGTGCTGTTGGGTCCACTATTCCGAGTGATGTTTCCCCTGGGCTTCGGGAGAGTAAGCACCTCCTGTATGATGATGCGCTCAGGAGCAGTGAAGCCAAGGCCCACACCTGCTGAGCAGGCTGAGATAGACCGCCGGCAGGCAGAAAAGAAGAAAGAAAGAGAAGAAAGAAAGAAAAAGAAAGAAGAGGAACTAAAGAAAAAGGTCCAGCTAGAAGAAGAAGAGTTAAAGAAGAAGTTGAAAGAGAAGCTGGACCAGGAAATAAAGGAAGAATTGCAGACTATTGAAGAAGAAGAAGAGTCTGAGGAAGGAGGAGAAAGACTTGTCAGGCGGCATGCAGAAAGAGGTGAAACCAGCCAAGCAGCGGGTGAGCTTAATGTCAAACCGCTGGACTGGTACGATCAGTATGCCTACTCCAGTGACATACCAACAAAAACGGAAGAAGAAAGAGATATATTTGTTGCAAGATTGGCGACTGTGACAGACCAAAGGGACAAAGAACTCATGCTTGAGGAAAAACGCGCCGAGCTGCACAACAAAATGTTAGCAGCAAAGCGAAAGGAACTCGTTGATAGAAAGAGATTACAAGCAGAGGGAGCGAGATTACATAGCGAGCTTCTGGCACAAAAAGATAAACAGGCAGCCACCGAAGAAAAACTTGCTCTCCTGACTGAAACGGTTCTCCATACCAAGCAAGAAGTCGCTGCAATCAACCGAACCTTACAAAAAGTTGAAAGCAGACAACATGAATTTGAAAATGTCAAGAACACCTTCCTGCAGAAGTCCGCCAAAAACGTAGATCTGCATATTCAATCCTACATCAAGAAATTGGATGATCACGTCACCCAAACCTTCACTCCGACCGTAATTGAAAGGATAGTGCAGGGCAACGGCGGAGGAGGAGGCGGTGATGGAGACGGGGATGGAGGCGATGGAGATAAAAAAGGAAAGGGGGTACGACGAGAAGAAGGAGCGGGACCTAGTAACAAAATTAAGGTTAAAATTCCATGGACCTACACAGGCAAGAAAGAGGAAAGTGTCTTGCATTGGATGGCGGCAGTAGAGTCCTATGTCTATGGACAGCGGATTCCGTATTGGGATAGAGTTCTGATGGCCACTTCGTGTATGGCCGACGACGCAATGAGCTTCGCCATCTCATTACAAAAGGAAGCGGGTTGTAGTTCGATGGTAGAATTCTCTCAACAAACCCGTATTGAAGACTTTCTCAAAGCCGTTAGAGAAAGGTTCGAAGATAAGAACTTAGCCCGAAGAACATAATTACTAATATTGAACCTTCCCGACAGAAAATGGAAAAGTACTTCAGCACTAAAGGCAACCATGGATGAATTACTACAATGCAGCGAACATGGCCTGACCACGGCTCAAATCTTGAATAGCTTTGCACGCGCCCTACCTGACCCTGTCCGAACGCAGTTGTATCCCCGTACCAAAGAGGAGGGGATGACATATGAGAAATTTAGTAAGATTGCATTAGACCATGCAGGGTTCTTGGCTGAGGCCAACTATAGCCATTATTGGAAAGATCTGCAAGCGGGAAAGAGATGGCAAAACCGCACTATCTCAGGGTCAATACCTGGGAAAGACAACCTCCTTCTGACCTTTGAAGAAGGAGGTGTCGAGTCACTTTCTTGGGACCAAATAGACTATGGTCTCGATGAACCCAACAGACCGGTAGCTCAGGAGGGGAGTTACGCAGCCGTTGTAGCCCGCGGGGGAGGGCGACAAGGAAGAGGCCGTGACCGAGGAAGAGGAGGCCGCGAACGTGGTGGAAGAGGACCCGGTACCCAGAGGGGTGGTGGCGAAGGTAGCTACTACGTGGGAGGAAGGGGCAATGGTCCCTCGCAAGGTGGCCGTGGTTACAATTCTGCCTGGGGAAGAGGAAGAGGCACATGGTATAACAAGTGGGATAAGCCATACCCACCTCATCCAGGTCTACCCGAAGGGGAACCTTGGAAGAAATTGGGAATCACAGAAAAGGTGTGGCAAGAAAGGAAAGTTGCCGACCAGTGCATGAAGTGTGGGGACCCCGACCACATTGTCCCTTATTGCCCTGACTATAAGATGGCAAAAGGGAACAGCCAGTAGAGGTCTCAGTTGCCTCTACATGGATTTCGGGTGTTGAAAAACAAGAATCCTCCCATTCGAAGGTCCGACTGGCAGAAATTGAAGAGGTAGACAGTCCCCATCTAGTACACTGTCAGAGGTGGCAAGCGTATGCATCTCTCTAGATGGATCCCTCGCTGGCGTGGGTGATGAGTTGGCCGCTCGTCGCCAAGCCTGGACTGAAATGAAAAGACAAAGAGGACAATTAATAATTGCAGATCTTGAAATTAATAACGTAAGAGTAGGAGGAATGATAGATACCGGTTCCACACGCACCTATGTAAGTAAGAAAGGTTTGCAAAAATTGCGACTCGGGGCTAAAGGTTAAGCATTTAGATGAGTCCGTAACAAGTAAGTTAGCTAATAGTACAGTAATTGTAATGGATAAGTATGTTGAAGGGGTTAATGTATACTTCCGGCTCGAAGCAGAGGGGAAGGTAGAACGTGTTCTCCACTCTCTGACTCTCTTGGTGGAAGACAATCTTCCTTTTGACATCCTCCTAGGCATGGATTGGGGAGAAGCTGCAAATGCGGATATAAAGATGAGGGACCATGAATGTTTGTTTCCTAGTCCGCAAGGTGGAAAGAAGAAAATCCGCCTATATCATGAATCAGGAAAGGAAAACAGCTTAGCTCATTGTTGCATGAGTGCCCCGGCGTTCGCCCGCCATGTGAAAAAGTAAAGTCTGTATAATCAAGTTTTCGTTGCATATGTGCGCCCAATGAAAGAGGGTGAAGCTAAAGAAGAGGCAAAATCCCCTGAGATTGAAAAGATCTTGAAAGAGTTCGTAGATGTGTCAGAGTCCCCAAGCGGTGTGGTAGAACGACCAATCAAACATCGCATTGAAATCCTACCCGGAAGTTCAATTCCTAAAGGGCCTATCTATAGGATGTCACCAAAAGAATTGGATGAACTGCGAACCCAGCTTGATGAGTTGCTGGCAAATGGGTGGATAAGACCTAGCTCCTCGCCCTATGGTGCGCCTGTATTCCTCGTTCCCAAGAAAGATGACGGCGTACGCATGTGTATAGACTATAGAAGGTTGAATGACATAACCGTTAAAAATGCTGAGCCATACCCAGGATCGATGATTTGTTGGATCGAGTGCAAGGAAGCAAGTACTTCACTAAGATAGATCTGAAGTCTGGCTACCATCAAATTGAGGTAGAGCCAGAAGACCAACATAAGACTGCCTTTCGAACAAGGTACGGGCACTATGAGTTCGTGGTATTGCCCTTTGGTCTTACGAATGCACCTGCAACTTTCCAAAGAATGATGAATGAACTTTTCCGTGAATGGCTTGATAAATTTGTAGTTATATATCTCAATGATATTCTAATTTTTAGTAAAGATTTAAAAGAACATTGCGAGCACCTTCGACTTGTGCTAAATAAGTTGCGTGAGGCAAAATTAAAGTTAAACCCAAAGAAGTGTGATTGGGCTAAGCGTCAGGTTTTGTATTTGGGGCATGTGCTTGATGGTGATGGTATCAAACCGGAAGATTCAAAAATTGCAGCCATTAGAGATTGGCCAAACCCCCGCACTTTGACTTAGTTGCGGTTGTTCCTTGGGCTAGCCAACTATTATCGGAAGTTTGTCAAACACTTCACGATAATTGCTGCACCCCTTCGCAGATTGCTTAAGAAAGAAACCATCTGGAAGTGGGATTCAGACTGTACGACTTCGTTCAAACGCCTCAAGAAATGTCTGATTAACTACCCGGTTTTGAAGGTCGCTGATCCTTCTTTGCCCTTTGTTGTCACAACCGACGCCAGTCAGTATGGGATAGGTGCTGTACTTCAGCAAGATGATGGGAATGGGTACAGACCTGTTGAGTTTATGTTCCGACGACTGCCTAATGAGAAGGTCGTCGCTTCTACGTATGAGAGGGAGTTGTATGTTCTCAGAGAAACTCTTGATCATTGGCGACACTATCTCCTAGGAAGGCACTTCAAAGTGTACTCAGATCATGAGACACTTCGCTGGCTCAAAACGCAAGTGCGGATGACCCCTAAGTTGACTAGGTGGGCCGAAATCGACCAATATGACTTTTGAGTTAAAGCCAGTCAAGGGTAACTACAACGTTGTTGCTGACGCACTAAGTCGAAGATCTGACTTTTTCGGTGCCGTTGTAACATACTTAGATATGGGCACCGATTTGCAAAATAAAATTAGGAATGCGTATTCCACGAATCCTGTCTATGGCGCTATGATTAAACATGTGCAAGAAGCGCCACAAGAGTTTCCTAACTACCGATTTACACAAGGACTGTTGTTTGAGCAAACCGACGTGCATGACAGGTTTTGCATTCCAAATGTCGAAGAGATCAAGAGCTTGATCTTGGGGGAATGCCATGACACTGAAGGTCATTTTGGCTGGAAAAAGACTTATGCAGGCTTGTTACGTTCCTGTACATGGCCTCGCATGAAAGCCGATTGCATTGCCTATGTGCAAGGTTGTCAAGTGTGCCAAAGAAATAAGAGCATTACTCAACCTCCCTTTGGATTGCTAAGGCCCTTGCCAATTCCGATAGGTCCAGGAGACTTTGTATCCATTGACTTCATGGACACTAAGGTGAAGAGCAGGAATGGAAAGACGCAAGTTATGGTCATCGTTGACCGATTTAGTAAGTATGCTGTATTTGTAGCATTACCAGCGGAAGCTAAAACTGAATTAGTAATCTGGGAATTCTTTAACCATTGGGTAAGGGATTATGGACATCCCTTAACGATTGTGAGTGACAGAGATTCGCGTTTCACAAGTGAACAATGGCAACAACTTATGAATGTCTATGGTTGTAAGTTAACTATGTCATCAGGTAGACACCCTGAGACAAACGGCCAAACTGAGCAAATGAACAAAGTTTTGCAACAAACATTGCGCATGTACATCCGTCCCGCTCAGATTGACTGGGATGAACATTTGCCCAAAGTTGCTAGTGCCTACAATAATTTCGTTCACCTATCTACGTGCAGGACGCCAATGGAACTGCATTTGGGATGGAGACCACGTAGACCCATTGACCGTTTGAATCCCGATCAAGTACATAAGCTTCCTCTAGGGACAAGTGAGTCTGCAATACAGTATCAGAAAGATATTGAAAAGGTCAAGGACAATATAATCAAGGCACAACACCAAATGATAGATCATGCAAATAAGCACAGAAGACCCTCTGAATTCGCTGTAGGTGATTTGGTATGGGTTAAGTCCAGAGAGTTTGCCCCTGAGGAGAATATTTCTCCAAAATTATTACCCGCCTACAGAGGACCTTGGCAGATTCTTGATGTGATTGGAGAAGTAGATGGACCTTCTTATGTCGTTGAGATTCCTCTACATTTGCATACATATCTGGTGTTTCACGCCTCAAAGCTTCTACCTTGCGTGACAAATGAATTGTTTCCCAGTCGCAGATCGGCGATACCTCCTAGTATGGACGGGAAATATGACGTGGATAAGATTGTTGCTGAAAGCACTTTCCAAACCGGACGCAGAGGCAGACCCCAGCGACAATATAAAGTAAGATTCGCCTATCAAAATCCAAGTGAAGATCGCTGGTTTACAAGAGAAGACTTACTTGAGTCTGCACCTCAGATTAGATCTGCATATGAAAAAGCTAAAAGAGGAATAAGTATTATTAACAGATGGAGGTTTTCTCAGAGGACTTCGAATCTAGGCCGGCGAGAGTAAAAGGGCCTTTACCCGATTCAACCCCTGTTAGACGAGAGCAGCATATTGGGGTACCTCGCCCAAAGCCCAATTCGTGAAAGCAGATCAAAAGGCATGTTCTCTGGGTCAAAGGTCAC